TTTCTGCAGATCTAGAAGGTCAAGCTATGAACTACAATGAATGACCACTGCAGACTTCTCTCTATTGAGGCTAGACTTAGCGCTTACTTATGAACTCGACTTGTTTTACTCGATCGAACTATCATGAGTGATCGCTGCAATGGTTGTCAGGGTTATTCCAGGGAATCAGTTTAAGGCACACGTATAGATCTATCAAGAATCAGGCTGAGCGGACGAATACCAAAGGAGCTCACCCTCTCAGATCCAGCCTTTCCAATCTTTGTAGTTATATGTCGTGATTGTGAAGGAGACGTCGGCCTTCTTATTGCAACATTTTGGATACTCAACGTTCAACACTGTATGAAAGGTTCTCGCATCATGTAGGATTGCTGTACACTCCCGCGACCTGCGACACTTCGGATCAACCAGCGAGGACTGTGTTGATAGTAATACAATTTAAATGGGGGTGTAGACAGTCTAACCACCATGTGTTCGATGAAAGCGAGCAACAACTACAGTAACGAGATATAGGGGGAACAAGTTCGAATTAGTTTACAAGCAGAAACACACCCGCCACTTCCATGGGCTGCGTCCACCAAAGAAGGATCGGATGCGACTCATCGTGCATGTTACTGCTGGCCTGGAATAGTGCAGTCGAGTGCTCGCCGATTTACTTGAAATGAACTGAGCAGTGAGCTAGCATGATAACAACAGAACTGCACAGAGAATCCTGATAACGATGATGCACAGTCGACAGCTACAATACACAATTCGCAACCGTAACAACTTACAAGGTGATTTACTGCGGTTATGATCCTAGAGGCATGGTTTGGATAGTGGTGTTTCGTTCCCTCTCTATCAGTGATCGCTCTCATACGCTCTCACAACCAAGATAATTCTGCATTATCCGCCTGAGCTCTGTTTCCGGAATCCTCGTCTTGAAATCGATGGTGCACGGCCGGTATGTAAACGGCCGGTGGGCTTTCTCTGTGTTCATAAATCCCATGTCATCCAGCGGCTGTGTAGGATCCAGAGTGAGCTGGAAGGCCCAAAGAATCAGGACCGCGCTTATGAACACCGTTCTGTGCCAATCGAAGTGAACCCGAAAGATCATGTCTGTAGAATGACAGGCTTACCTGTTCGCGACATGTTGACCGGGGCACACACTGCAAAGATTTTCAATGCAACGAACGAGTAATAGGAAGATGGTGCTTACCGTCGACCAAAGCCGTAGAGAAAATTGGTTAGATCGTCTCTCAGGAGACCTTGGTCGTCAATCCATCGTTGAGGCTTGAAGACTTCGGGCTCGGGAAAGACTTCTGGATCTCGACAGATGGACCTAAAGCAGCGACTGTTAGGCCTTTCTGGTTAAACTCATAGCTCGAAGCTTACCAATGGTTACCGAATACCGTGGTCCCAGCTGGAATACAGTGGTTTTCCTGATGCCAGATCATCAGTCGCACACGTAAGCTGTTCAAATATCACTTACCCAAATTACGTCTTTGGTTGTTCGGTGGGGAAATCCTGCAGTGACTGTCAGAAACTGTAAGTATAAAATCACAAAGATTATCCTAACCATTAGGAGCAACCGGTCTCCATCTCACAGCCTCAGAGATGAAGGCATGCAGGCGCGTAAGGGATTGTTGGTCGGCGAATGTCGGCGCTTGAGTGCAGAAATCGTTGAGTTTACTGAACTGCAATAGGAAACAGAGCTACCTTGTTGCCTCCCGATGACCGTATCGAGCTCGGCTTGAACTTTAACTTGCTCATCGGGGAAACATGCGGCTGCCATGAGCACCGTGCATATTACTGAGGTAGTCTGACCCCTAGTTTCAGCCACATACTAATCTTTGGACAACAAAACACCTCACTGTGTTGGTTCCAGCTCTAAACAAGGAACCACCAAGAAAAGCCGTCTCGTCCTCTGTCAAGCCATGGTGATCGCCATTTTCTAGCATATATCTCGTGAACGAAGGGCCGATGTCCACATCACTTTGCTGTGAATGACTTCGGCATTTCATGTGAAAATCGTCAACGCGAAGCATACCATTTGCTCTTTCACTCGGTTCAACTGACCTATGTTAAGCCGCTTGCTCCTCTCAAACCCCTGTTTTAATTCTCGGCCATACCAGGGAATGTGTTTAAGCCACGGGATCGAGTCCACAAGGTAGAAAGCATCAGGGCGCAGGGCTCTGTCGATCAACTTCCTAAGCTGGCGCATCTCAATGACTTGGGGATCAGCTGCAGACGTGGGCGCATTGCTACCGTAGGTAACTTTCGTAATTACTGTCGCACCATAACTTCAAAATGCCTATAAGCAGTGTACAATCGTAACCACAAGCGCATACCTCATCACATGGTTCTGAAAGTTGTATGGATCATCAAGGATGTCGAAAATCAGATTCTTCACGTTCGACATCTGCAGGGGCTGATAAGCCCCAGCTGCTGTAGGCTGGAAATGCGTATGAAGGGCTCTGCAAAAGTTAAAAGGTAAATTGGTAGACATTGCGAATTGCTAACCTACGCATCCGACGGAATCTGTCTCCAAATGGCGTGTAGGCAATGCTCAGTCCGCCACCAAATAATTCTCCAGCAGCGATCATGCGAGGACGGTCAGCGAGAGTTCCGCCCTGATTCTCCATAATATCCATGGCGGCCTGCAACAGAATGGTGAACTTGGATATGTTGACCCTGCGTCGAGAGACTGACTTTGTAACGACCAATAACCACGACTTTTCCGAGCCCTGACCGAAGAGTGATCAGAGGGCCGTACTCGTTAATCCAACCTGCTATGGTAAGAAATGACCTAATCAGCGAAAATACTGTGAGTACTAACAGACAACGTGATCCATGCGAAAATTTACTTGTGAGACGGCAGGAAGTGCCCCCAAGGCCTTAAAGTGAAAGGGGAAGGTGGGAGAGGAGGGCCATTCTTCGATTGAGGAAGAACAAATACTCCTATTACGCCAAGACAAGTCACAGCACCGGCAATGAGCCGCGCGTTGTCCGAAATGAACAGGTCAGGTAGTTGCAACATGGCTGATGGAAGGAGCGCAAAGAAGGATTGGAGGAGGTAACTCATGGTAAGTAGCTTCTCAACTCGAGGGTTAGTAAGGCGATATAACTATGCTGATAGGCCAACTTTAAATCCAATTGACCAGCATACTTCAAAATCCATATTCTGATCCATCACTGCCACGTCTCCACGGACCGTTAGTCCTTGCAGTGTCATCAAGCAAATTCTGCTGGCAAAGAATTACCACCTCCGCAATTTGGCTCGAAGATAACCTTTCTCTGGCTTAGGAAGGTAAACAGTTGACACTGCTGCCATACCAGAACAATGTGCAACACCGAAAAACGATGTCAGAAATGCGCAGGTCGGGCAGCCGTAATATAGCTAATGGGAAGAGCTCGAAGGATTGGGTGTAACTTGTCGTATGTCACTGCTGGCCTGCAGTAGTTCGCTGGCCCAGTAATACTTGGCAATTGAAAGAAGCCAACGGAGAACACGAATAAGACCTTTTGGCGAGCATACTAGTCCAAGTTTTTCGTTGTCTCGTCAGTTTCATGTCCTGCTGAATTCTGTGACTCGTAGGGTAATTAGAGGCATTTTTGGACTGTAATTCTTCCGGAAGAACCGGCAAAAATGGCGGCATGACCTATTCTGGATTTAGATACAGCAGGTAGTGGGTGTTTTGTTGTCCCTTCCAGCAGCACAGCTGAGATCATGACTAGGGAATGAGTTGGAAAGTCCACATGTGACTCGCATAAAGACCACGTCTTTGCATGATCGGGTTAAATGCAAATGGGAGAGGTGTCATGACAGGTGAGATCATGGTCGATGGAGGCGATAGAGTGACCTTGAATTCATTGCTGTAAAAACGTCGCAGACGGGCCCTACGAGAAGAAGTGTGGCACAACTGAAGCCTTCACGATGATTTTTCGTCGCGCACTGGTGCAGAAAGTAGTTCCATAAATGGGACGGGCAGCTGAAGAACTCGAAAACTGCATGTAACCTCGACTCTCCGCACGGAGCGACCCAGGATAAACATTGAGATCTTGAAAATGGCACATCAACGGACAAGACATGAGGTTCCAAAACACGGTGATACCCGAGAATTTGTTTGGTTCCTTGGTTGATGTGTCGGTAAAGGACAATGTATCACTACCACAGTATGGGTTGCAGCCAGGATGGAGATCCTGCTGCGTTACGGTCTCGTCGTAGTGTAATCTATGCAGGATAGATGGATGCTATAGGTTAGGACGAACCGGAAGAGCGAACCAATATATAGCTCACAGTCTGTATCCGCGAATTTCAGGTCCCAGTCCTGAAGCTTTGAACTGGCCTGACTCCCTGTACCTGGTGGACTACGATTCTGTAATAACTCGGTACACTCGAACTGTTACAGGTTTTGGTGTGCTGAATGCGTTATGAATGGGAAAGAATAATAGATACAAGTAACAAAATAGATATATTTCAGAAATAGCTGCCGCCAGTTAGAGGAACCATTTGTGACATAGGACACATCGAAGTTCATGCGAAGCGGAATTTGAAAAATGCAACGAGTGTTTCTGCGATGATCAAATATTGATCATCACATGCATCACACCTGGCTGTATCACTTCCGAGGTGGCCCCATGTTTACTGATGTGTTTCAACATCTCAAGATCTCAAGCTTATTTATGTTTCAGCTGGATTCCAGCAGAATTTCGTTCAATTACCCTTAAGACGAGACATAATTGAATTATGCTTGTCAAATGACTTCGGTGCTGCGGTTTGTCTTGAGTAATTTCTCCGACTTACCTTCAAGCCTTAAGCCAACTTGAAGTACTCCAACGCTACCGTACGGACCGTCGAGACGTGGCAGTAATGACATGGATTTCAGAATTTGAAGTACGTTGACCAACTGTTACGTCGAGGATTTGAAAAAATCAGTTATAACTTTACGCTGAGTTCTCTCTGACCATTCCTTGCGCCCTTTTCATCAGCCATGTTACATTTGTCTGACTTGTCCCTTCCTGACAACGCGCCGCTCATTGTCGGCGCTGTGACTTGTCTTGGTGTGATGGGAGTAATTGCTCAGGCTTACCTTCCTCGATTGACGAATGGCCTTCATCTCCCACCTTCCCCTTCCACTTGGAGGCTTCGGGGACATTTTCTGCCGCGTCGCAAGTAAAGTGTCGCATTCAACACACATAGTCTTCAACGCTCATGGTCTGGCGCTGATTAGGTCATTTCTTACCATAGCGGGTTGGGTTGACGAGCATGGTCCTCTGATTACTCTTCGGTCGGGACTCAGAAAATTCGTGGTTATTGGCCGTTACAAAGTCAGTCCCTCGACCCCAAGTTGTCATGTGGAAGCTCATTGAATTTATTCTGTTGCAGGCCGCCATGGATATCATGGAGAATCAGGGCGCAGCGCTAGCTGACCGTCCTCGCATGATTGCTGCTGGAGAGATATTTAGCGGCGGACAGGGTCTCACCTCTACACCCTTTGGGGAAAAGTTCCGTCAGAAGCGTAGGTTCGCAGACTGCAACACTTCTTTTAAGTTAATTTTCAACGTGTCGCAGGGCACTTCATACGCACCTCCAGCCTAAAGCAGCCGAGGCTTATCAGCCCCTGCTGATGTCACACGCGAAGAACCTGGTCCTCGAGATTCTCGATGATCCACACAACTTCCAGAACCATGTGATAACGTATGCGTTTTCTGGCATGACCGCGCATTGCTTACAGGTATTATCAAAAGTTTTTCTTCGACGACAATGATGAAAGTCGCATATGGTACTACTACGCCCACTTCTGCGACCGATCCCCTAGTCAAGGAGATGTACCAACTCATGAAGGTGGTCAGTAAACTCCTGCGCCCCGATGCCTACTACCTGGTGGACTCGATCCCATGGCTCAAACATATTCCTTGGTATGGCCGAGAATTGAAACGGGGGTTTGAGAGGAGCAAGCGGCTCCACACTGGTCAGCTGAATCGAGTAAAAGAGCAAATGGTATGCCTCGCCTCACCAATCTTCGCATAAAGTGTTCAAGCTATTCTGCAGCAAAGCGATGTGGACATTGGTCCTTCGTTCACGAGATTTATGTTAGAAAATAGCGACCACTATGGTTTGACGGAGGTCGAGACAGCTTTCCTCAGTGCCGCCTTCTTTGGAGCTGGCTCTGATACGGTGAGGTGTTTTCGTTGTGTCCGAAGATAAGTACGTGGCTGAAAACAAGGTTCAGACTACTTTGGCCTTGTGCAACGTGCTCCTGGCAGCCGCATGTTTCCCCGAGGAGCAAGGTAAAGTTCAAGCCGAGCTCGACGCGGTCATCGGAAGGCACCGAGGTAATTCGATTCCCTATCGCAATTCTGTAGAATTCAATGATCTTTGCACTCAAGCGCCGACTTTTGCCGACCAACAATCCCTTACTCGTCTGCGTGCCTTCATCTCTGAGGCTTCGAGATGGAGACCTGTTGCTCCCAATGGTGAGTATCGTCTTTGTGGCTTGTACCCGCGGTTTCGACGACTATACTGCAGGAGTTCCTCACCGAACAACCAAAGATGTGATTTGGGCAAGTGATCTTAGAACAACTTACTTGTGCGACTGATGATCTGGCATCAGGAAAACTACTACATTCCAGCCGGCACTACAGTATTCGGCAACACTTGGTAAGTATCGAACTTCTGAATTCAAGCATGAAGACCTGACTGTTACTGCTTTAGGGCCATCTGTCGAGATCCAGAAGTCTTTCCTGAGCCCAACGCATTTAAGCCTCAACGCTGGATTGACGACCAAGGTCATCTGAGAGATGATTTAAATAATTTTCTTTTTGGGTTTGGTCGGCGGTAAGCACAGCCTTTGGGCTATCAGTTCTTTGAATGGCATTAATATTCCTTGCAGTATTTGCCCTGGTCAACATGTCGCAAACAGGTTAAGTTATATTTCTACATACATGACAATTCTTCCAAGCTCACTTCAATTGGTACAGATCGGTATTCATAGGAGTGGTCCTGATTCTTTGGGCCTTCCGGCTCACCCTCGATCCTACACAGCCGTTGGATGACACGGGGTTCCTGAATTCGGAGAAAACATACCGGCCGTGCTCTATCAAATTCGAGTTGAGGATTCCCGAAGCAGAGCTCAGGCCCAAGATGAAGAGTCATCCTGAGGTCGCGTCAGTGGATTGAGACTGATCATCGCTAGAGAGAGAATGAAGAACCTGTTCGGAATGAATCAGTTACCAGTATCGGAACCATGCCACTCAGACATGACTCGCAACAAATCACATAATTTGTTTCGATGTAATAACTATCGATTATGCTTTGTCGTTGACAATAGAGTTTCACCGTGTAGTTCATTCCATCAGATCGGCGAACACTCGACTGGAGGACACCCTGCTCAAGATGTTCGACAAATCTATCAAACAGGAAGGTACTGACGACGATGCGGAATGTCAATGAAGTCCCAGCCCAGTGTGCGGCTGAAGCTGTAATTATGTGAGTTGCAAGGTGAAATGTCTCTTAAGCATGAGACTGAATTTATGCATCACGAAGGTCTTTTTTAAATTATGAGCCACCCAGGCTTACGAACTCTCCAGTCATAGGCGGCTGATGCATACTGCAGCGAGCACTCAATAGCACACATCAGCCACCCGAATCTAATACCAAGGTAACAGTTGGATCGTAATCACTGCGCTCGTGCTGAAGAGTATCTCCGTAAGGTTGTCATCAGCATAGACGTTGAATAATAATCAGATGAAAGTCAATCGCGCTTGATAGGCCTAGCAACAGAAAGCACGTTAACACTCAAGTACGCAACGCGCAAATAAGACGCAAAATGAATTGAAAGGCTCAAATAACATGAAGCTTGAGATAAATAACTACTCGAAATTAAGTATCTCGATGCTCTTGTCAAGTCTGCCCACGAAATCGAAGGATAGCACCATCACCTTGTTTCCTTCTGCTATTAAATCGACTCCAAGGAACTCCTCTTCAGTGATAGTCTCGATATACGGAAGTCCAGACCCAAGTGGCTCGAGGAACATATCCGCACCTGAATCCAATAAGTTGCCCTCGATGAGTCGTTGATTCCATCTAATGCCATTCCCAGCCTTGAAGTCCGCTACTCGATGAGGGTTGAAATCGCGGATACACAGTGCCCGCGGCAAAGGAGGCCTTATCTGGGAGCCGACAAAAGATACAGCCCGTAAACCAAAGACGACATTTTTGCAAGTATCGAGCAAGTCTCCTCTGAAGGATCGGGTATATTTTAACCCCCATTCAGACCAAGGCAAATTAGGGGAACTGTCGCTTGCTTTTCCATATTGGCGCGTGTAGGTCGACTGGAGTTCCAACAGGGTGTTGCGCTCGACATACAATGCGACACAACTTGAAAAGACGCTATGGTCCCCAAGAATCTTCATGTTGATATTGATGATATGATCATGCATGCGGGAATGGGACGAGATGGAGTCCTTGATACGGATTTCTTCATATCTACAGGATGTCCGCAAGGCAGGGAGCGAGAATTTGGCAGTAAGATGAAGAGCATCGGGGAAATCAACGAGGGAATATAACAGTAGTTCCTCGCTGTTGACGACGAGAATTGTTTCGTTTGTTAGAAAACTGAAATGCAGAATTTCATGAGCCGGCTTGAGGCACTACAAGTCCAGGTAAGTCACGAGTCACAACACTGAATCAGGAGGTTCACTGACCAGAGAAACGTCCTTCGACTTCCAGTTCCAAATTTGCAAACTTTCGACTAGGTCACCATGTGCGTTGAAAACCTTTCTGGACAAAATGCCACAATAATGCCCGAAGATGGAGAATGACACAGTGCTGGAGGGGTCCAATGATTCGAAGTCGACCTCTTCGTCGATGGTTTTCACCACAGCGGATCCAGCTTCAGGATGGACTTCATCAGGCTCTGAAAGCGACCTGAAAATAAGATCACAGGTGTGACTTTCCCTTTATTTACGTTAATACAATCTGACTGAGTGAAGATGCGACTTGAGGGAACTACTGACCCTGGGGATGCTTTGACAAGGCAAATCAAAAGGTCTTGTATGGGTGAAAAATCGCAGAGTGGGAATTCGCCATCGAAGTGGTAGTCCCATTCACGTAAGCTTGTGCTATGATCAGGGTCTGTCACTTGCGGCTGCAAAAACCTTAGTCGAGTTTCATCCTACACATCGAGTGCCAGAATACCGCCAGACCACATGAACACGTCATCGGTGATATACGTATACGGTATAGAGACGGGATTACTTTTGAAATATTTGGCTTTCTGCCATGCAAATTCGCTTTGTCGAAGTGATTCGCGAAGCGATGCGACGGTGTGATCTGGTCCAGGTGAAGGGACTGGAATTGAGTTGAAATACTTGAGGTCAATCGGATACAACAACTCCGAGGAAGAGTCAATCATGTGTCGAATATTGTGGCATACCTGGAGAGAGACCGAGTTAATAATTCGGAAATAGAAAACTTTGTCCTTACTCGACGTGCTCGCGCCAGTTCGTAGCCATCCAGATGGTTGAATATGTATACGAGGGTTTCGACGGGCAGATCTAACAGTTCTAGGGTGGCATGACGAACTTGGTTCATGGCTGATGGGCACCGCTAGTGACTCGGAGGTGAGATTCATTTGCAAGATTTAGAAGATATCAGCACGAACCTTGCTAGCCTGCAACTTTCAGAGAGAAAAATGATGATAATAATGTAGGTGGGCAATGATGCGACGACAACTGCGAAAGGTTTAATGTGGCAGCCACAAAATTCGAGCGAGGCTCCATTTTATGCACTGCGACATGGCCATCGATGGTCAATGTGTCGGGTAACTGTCATTGTCGATCGGTTTCGTACAATCGGAAGTGGTCAAAACTACAGGTGCTAATAATACGTGAGCAAGATAGTACATGTGTGTGAGGACAATAGGAACTGACTGGTTCCAAGTGAAATTCATAATTGAGCTCCAGGAAGCCTTATCACGTAGTGATACAGAATATACAACTGTTCAAAGTAAGCGATCAACGTTGGTTGCTCAAGCGCGTGTAGTGCAACGCAACTGCAATTCCTTGGTCTCAGCTATGACCACGCATTGTGCATCTACGTCTTCCAATTCCTGGAGTCCTTTGCAATTTCTAAAGGGTACAACAGCCAAAAAAGATCGGCCAGTCCAATTATTGTTGGTGCACAAACCAGGCATACCTTGTTATGGTCTCAGCCGTGGAATGGCCGCATGCTTAAGATCCTTGTGTCTGAGTCAGTGGCATTCTGGATCGTGTTTCATGGCCACGTGGAACAGCACAAGACTGAAAGACTCCAGGTTGCATTCAAATTCTGCGGAGCCACCTTCCATCACGGCCATAGGAGGAAGCATCAGGAAATTGAGTTCCGCAATCAAGCCATCATTTATAGGATGACAAAAGGACTACGCCACTATTCATCAAATCTACGCGAAGGAAACTCAATCATACCGTGATTGGTTGATTCAAACGATGACAAGGACGAATAGCCAATGATAACCTCCATCTGCATAAAGGAATCTAGATGGTCAGAAAACTGCACGACATGATCGTGTTTGACAGTGGAGTCCATTGGAATGATGAACGAACGAGGGTTGTGCCGGCAAATCAACATGTGCTTGGGTTTGTCTATGTTGCCAGGGCCAACCGCGCGGTCGTGTGATAGGTGACGGTCATGACTTCAAGTCAATAGTAGGTCCTAGTTTCAATCAAAGGTTGCTTGGCCAGTAATATTACATAATAGTATGACATGACGTGGTCATTGGTCAAGCACATGTTTGTATCCAACGGTCGAGACTACTAGCTTACTATTTCACACATACATCAAGCCTTCAAGCTCAAGCTTCAAGCTTCAAAGCTTCAAGGTCTGCCCTAGTATGACTCTCAGGTAAGCGAGTTAAACCCTTGTCAACTAAACTCCGCTTGGATCAGTAAGTTTACAGTCCAAACAGTGCGGGCGCCGGGGAGGGCCAATGACTCCAATAACCATCGAAGCCAGCCAAAAGCATAGTAAACACATGAAAATACACCTTCGAATTGTTCCACGATAGTTGGACACAAGCAACTTGAACACATTCTCCAGTCATCATATCAAGATCCAAGCCGTCGACATGTGGCCCAAGGCGCCCACTGAAACAGAATCTAGATAGGAAGTGGTAGAGACAGTCTTGAGCTTCAGAAGAAGTGTGTCCCTGCGGTTGTGAAGTCCAACCTCAAGTTTCAGTTTGAAGCTCAATTATGACGCATGTACCGTCTTGCTCACGCATTATTAGCACCTGTAGTTTTGGCCACTTCCGATTGTACGAAACCGATCGACAATGACGGTTCCCCGACACATCGACCATCATCAATGGCCATGTCGCAGTGTATAAAACGGAGCCTCGCTCGAATTTTGTGGCTGCCACAATAAATTCATCAGACTTGTCGTCGCATCATTGCCTACCTACATCCTTAACCGTCATTTTTTCTCTGAAAGTTGCAGGCTAGCAAGGTTCGTGCTGATGCCTTCTAAATCTTGCAAATGAATCTTACCTCCGAGTCACTAGCGGTGCCCATCAGCCATGAACCAAGTTCGTCATGCCACCCTAGAACTGTTAGATCTGCCCGTCGAAATCCTCATATACATATTCAGCCATCTGGATGGCTACGAACTAGCGCGAGCACGTCGAGTAAGGACAAAGTTTTCTATTTCCGAATTATTAACTCGGTCTTTCTCCAGGTATGCCACAATATTCGACACATGATCGACTCTTCCTCGGAGTTTTTGTATTCGATTGACCTCAAGTATTTCAACTCAATTTCAGTCCCTTCACCTGGCCCAGATCGCACCGTCGCATCGCTTCGCAAATCGCTTCGACAAAGCGAATTTGCATGGCAGAAAGCCGAATATTTCAAAAGTAATCCCATCTCTATACCGCATATTCCCCGTGACTTCATGTGGTCTTGCGGTATTCTGGCATTCAAAGTGCAAAATGAAAATCGACTAAGGTTTTTGCAGCCGCAAGTGACAGACCCCGATCATTCCAATAGCACGAGCTTGCGTGAATGGGACTGCCAACTCGATAGCGAATTCCAACTCTGCGGTGTCTCACCCATACAAGACCTTTTGATTTGCCTTGTCAAAGCATTCCCAGGGTCAGTAGTTCCTTCAAGTTACATCTTAAGGACACAGTCAGATTGTATTAACGTAAATAAAGGGAAAGTCACGCCTATGATCTTATTTTCAGATCTCTTTCAGAGCCTGATAAAGTCCATCCTGAAGCTGGATCCGCTGTGGTAAAAACCCTCGAAGAGGAGGTCGACTGCCGATTACTCGACCCCCCCGATATGTCATTCTCCATTTTCGGGCATTATTGTGGCTTTTTGTTCATCGATGTTATCAAAGCAGACGGTGAATCAGCCGACATTTTGCAAATTTGGAACTGGAAGTCAAAGGACGTTTCTCTGGTCAGTGAATCCCCTGACTCATTGTTGTGACTCGTGACTTACCTGGACTTGTAGTCCCTCAAGTTGGCTCATAGAATTCTAGATTTCAAATTCCTAACAAACGAAACAATTCTCGTCGTCAACAGTGAGGAACTACTGTTGTATTCCCTCGTTGATTTCCCCGATGCTCTCCATCTTACTGCCAAATTCTCGCTCCCTACCTTGTGCGCACCCTTTGAATGTCAAACAATCTGTATCAACTCCGACTCGTCCCATTCCCGCATGCATAATGATATCATCACTATCAACATGACGATTTTTGCGGAGAGCCTCACTTGTGTCACACTGTATGTCGAGCGCAACACCCTGTTGGGACTCCAGTCCGCCTATACGCGCCGATATGGAAAAGCAAGCGACAGTTCCCCTAGTGTGCCTTGGTCTAAATGGGGACTAAAATATACTCGATCCTTCAAGGGAGACTCGCGCGATTCTTGCAAACATGTCATCGATGGTTTACGGGCTGTATCTTTGCACGGCTCCCAGACAATGGATCCTGAGCCACGACCACTGTGTATCCGCGATTTCAACCCTCATCGAGTAGCGGACTTCAAGGCTGGGAATGGCATTAGATGGAATCAACGACTTGTCGAGGGCAAAACATTCAGTTCAGGTGCGGATCTGTTCCTCGAGCCACTTGGAATTGGACTTCCGTATATCGAGACTATCACCGAAGAGAAGTTCCTTGGACTCAATTTAATGGTGGAAGGAAACAAGGTGATGTTGCGAACCTTCGATTTCGTGGGCAGACTTAGGAGCTCGGAGCAATGGATTGGACTGGATTTTGTCGCGAATGAAGTTGTGAACCAGAGCATCGAGATACTTAATTTCGAGTAGTTATTTATCTCAAGCTTCATGTTATCTGAGCGTTTCAAGTCTTATTTGCGCGTTGCGTACTTGAGTGTTAACGTGCTTTCTATTGCTAGGTCGAGCGCGATTGACTTTCATTTGATTATGATTTAACATCTCGACATCTATGACATGTGTTAGTTGTTATTGTGCCAATGTCTACGCTGATGACAACCTTACAGAGATACTCTTAAGCACGAGCGCAGTGATTACGATCCAACTGTTACCTTGGTATTAGATTCGGGTGGCTGATGTGTGCTATTGAGTGCTCGCTGCAGTATGCATCAGCCGCCTATGACTGGAGAGTTCGTAAGCCTGGGTGGCTCATAATTTAAAAAGACCTTCGTGATGCATAAATTCAGTCTCGTGCTTAAGAGACATTTCACCTTGCAACTCACATAATTACAGCTTCAGCCGCACACTGGGCTGGGACTTCATTGTCATTCTGCATTATCGTCAGTACCTTCCTGTTTGATAGATTTGTCGAACATTTTGAGCAGGGTGTCCCCAGTCGAGTGTTCACCGATCTGCATGGAATGAACTACACGGTGAAACTCGATCGTTAACGACAAAGCATCTTCACGTTTTATCGTCAAGGGGTATTTTAAATTTAATGCCCGGAACGACACACGCCAAAGCGTACAATCACTGTCTACTGACTGCAATGTCACTCCGGCATACTGACGTGCCAAATAATTTCTTGGAAAACAATGTATACATTGTTCAACCCTACACAGAACCTCAATCGACTCAGCAACGAAATATTATGCCATCAAGCACGGTATCAAGGCAGGAATATGACATAGTATTGTGATCATCAGCTCTGGCTGCGGCTATAAGAATTCGCAGGTGTGCTATGAATATTACAAAGGTGAGCCATGGTGTTGAATCAAACAAGCGATCCATACTCACAGTTTCATACTCACAACCATAAATGCCAGGGCAGCAATCCGTGTCGGATTTGCAACTGGCGTGTCGGCCAAGACATGCACTGACACTGACAGACATAGATGCTGTCAAAGTAATGATAACGGCGAGGGTGCAGAAACGCATTTTCTGTACAGGATGATACGGGATCTGATAAATCTGAGGTGAGTGGACACGGTAAGAAGCAGGCTTGCTTTTTATACCCTACGCATGCGGACATTGGCAGACTGTAGATCGGATTGGGAAAATGGTGATGCCTGACGCGGACGAATGGCACGACGCCATGACAAGAGTCTATGTATGACCCCAGAGTCAGGATAAATTAAACATAACATATGCATCCTAGCCGGCACGGTATTCCGAGCTGTGATAGTACTTTGTGGTCATTTTTGTGGGGACATACCCGCTGGATGTTGAAGAGTGATTACGAGGTGTAGGTTTTGCTTTGACGGGGTGGTTTGAGTACGTACACAAAAATTCTGCGCAGTTGGAATGTACGTTCAAAGCGATGATAGGTGTACATGCAGCGGGTCTGGGATCTCTGTGAGAAATGGCGGACAAACCAAGGTCACGTCGAGGCGCGGAATTGAAAATTGCACAAGCAGTGTTGGTCCCTCAATTACATAAAGTGAATGGCGAAACAGACACGTATAATGACCTACAGTGGTTCGGGGTTAAATGGGGTTTTGCCGACTACGGGAGCACTCTCCTTTGGAATTGAGATATCCGAAGTCAACTGCTGATCTCCCGGTATCCAGTTTTGTGTTTCCCCATGCATGACGAAACCCTAAATTTCTATCAGTGTCCACTGCAAGATTCTTGAGCCTAGCCTAGTAGCTCCAGGAATCGTCGTGAGAGTACATGACCTAGATGGAGCACGGCCGGTCCGAATTCATGAACCCCGTGTCGAGTCATCCAGTGGTTGTGTAGGATCGATGGGTGAGCCGGAAGGCCCAAAGAATCAGGACCGTACCTATGAAATGCATGCCGCCATTACTCTAACTAGTACGTCACGTACTAAGACTTGTCGTACTCAATCGCTTGAACGAGCCCTGCAAGCAATCGCGTTTAATCCCGTAGTAAGTGCACAGAGTGATATGACTGGTCCGATGTGTATCTACCCAGGAATATTTACTTTCGGACAAATGTCTCGATCGAAGATGAAAAGCAATCTCACCAGACTAATTTTGATAGACTCTCGAACGGTACCGAGTATTCATTTATACGTATCATAACTGCATACATACAATAGTGTCCCATACAAGTCCGAGACAAGAATTATTGTTTTACTTTACGTGCATGTAAGGTATGCAGACGAGTAGCAACAAAGTCCCATGAGGAACGAAACGAAACAAAGGGAACATCATACTCGAAAGAAATTAGGAGACCCGGTATTGGGTGTCAGACTCAAGTGTCCAAGCAACACCAACCGACCGGTATCACTTCGTCCCCAACCGCACCCCCTTAGCAGACTTGAACCACCCCTCCTTCTCCTTGTCCCCGTCATCCTTCCAGCTCCCGCCTATCTCAGGCGGAGACATACTCCCATACTTCGAACCCATACGCATCAACCCCATCTCATCCGTCACACCATCCACCATCCCACGCTCTCGCTCCCTTACCCTCGGCGATCCCGACCCACCAAGCGACTTCCAATAACCATCACCTACTACTGTCAAATGTCCCATAAACGCTACCGGCATCGGCGGCGCCATAACCAATCCCGCCGCCTTCGGCTTCCTCCTTGCATCAGTATCAGGCATAGGCGTAGCTGTCCCAGGCTCCATCATCTTCTGCAACGCAAGCAAACATAAAAACGCGTCGTTGCCTGCATTATGCAGTGCACATGGGGGATCGATCCCTAGGGAGTGTAAAAGCCCGCCGAGGGAGAGCGTAGAGCCTTGGGCGCGGTGTTTGCCTGTTTTGGGGTCGTGCATTACTCCTCGCTCGCCGGCGTTGAAGAGCGCGCGTTCAAAGGAAGCAGTATCGACTATGAGAACGTTGTGTGGGATTTCTAGGGGTGCGTTAGTTAGAGCGCATGAGTGGGGTGGCGACATACTGATCTTGGCCTCTTCAAGACGCTGGATGTCAGAGCTGACGCCGTGTCCTATGAGGACGAGGCTATTAGCGGTGGTTTCTGTGTCCGGGCTTGCTAGACTGCTGTAGATGACGTCAGACACAGGAGCTGTAGACACGGGAATGTTCTACCTAATCACAGACTGTACGATCTGAGGTAGCTTTGTTCTTGGTATGACTTGGCTGTCGCCCCACTACGAGGTACTCTATAAGGAGGGAATGGAGTGCCAAAGAAAGACGTACAGCATACTACTCCATATGTCAGTTTATCAGAGAAGGGTGATCGGAATAGGCGTACCTGCCAGGGGTACGTAGGACAATGCTTGTTGACGATCTTGTCCACGTAGTCACCGATGATATAGTGACCCTTCCTGTGTATATGCACATCAGCCAGGTCGTTACGTCCGCCAATCCACAACACACCGATAATTCGACTCGGGCATCGGAGGCCACGCGCCGACGCTGTAAATTAGATCCATCAGCTACCCGTACGCCACAGAAAGGAACAAAACACATACGCCTCAAGATGCCCACACCGAACAGCCGCATAACCCCATTCTAGAAACGTTGCCGGGTTCCGTTCGCTCCACTCAAAATCGATGGCTAAAAATGTCTTGTCGCGCTTGCCCCATAGTTCTCGGATGGCCTTCGGCTCGCCAGCCCGTATCCGAGTTTTAAACGCTGCGAGCGCTACTGCTGGTAGTGTCGTGTATAGTTTCTTGTAGGTCGCCCAGTCTGCAACGTTCCGTAGATGTCGCTGAGACGTCTCGAAGTGCGTAACTTTGAGCATGTTGTCGGGCGTTGGAAGTGTTTCGCCGAAACTGAGGGTTCCATCATTTGTGGGTCAGTAGGTCAGAGGTGAATGGGACGCACCGAGTCTTGATCATCTTGATGAACGCGCCGACGGTCGTTAGTCGGGTGACAATGTGCGCACGGCCAGTCGATGAGTCTGTAACAGCAATTACAGGCCATGAAAATCCCAGAAACTGCTCAAACGTCTCGAAGAATTGTCCCCATGTCCGGTCGTACCTGTGCAGCTCGATAAACGCGTCCTATGCACGTATTAAAGGGGCAGACACACCACGGGATGTTGTGCAACTGGAAGTAACCTATGTAAGCAGAGTACACCTATTGGATTATGAGCAACTTGTTAGATGAAAGCGCTGGGATGACGCACAGACTGAAGATCGTATTCCCAACCTTCTGGATTGACGAGGCGAAAATCTGCCATGGAATTTGAAATCAGACGACGGCTCGGTCAGTGCACAAACAGGTCAGTAACGCTATGAGCAACGATCTCCAAGGCAGCGATACGGAACAAAACTCGGTTTAATACTGAGTGTCTAGACGCCAGGAAGTCGTGTTTACGGCATAATTTTACATACTTCCATTTGGCCATGAACAGCGTTTTTGGGGCATGGAGGGGGGTGTAACGGCACATGCCGGAATAGTCTGTGTTTATATGTAGTTTCTATTACTCAAATATCACGTAGACGAACTTAAAAATTATGGAGAAGAGGATACGTCGTTTCATTCATGTACAACAAGAAGCAAGGGGAACCTGCAGAAGTCCTGAAAAAAAAGAAGTTAGCAACGGTAAATAACAAAGAACAAAGACGGGGATCAGAGACTTGAATGGGATCCCGCAAGGGATCAACGTCCATAGTGCAAGCACGTCGCGTCGAAAAAATTTCTATCCTAATAAACATATCGAAAACGTGAAAACTCACCATGAGTGTCGACGCATTGATGTTCACATGAAAAGGGTCCAAAGAGTTCCTGCAGAACGAGTCAGCATTGTAGCACAACACATAATGTGAAAATCAGATTAATGAATCGCGTTCTTCTCAGAACCTGCTAGCAGGCATCGAAGTGAGCTGAGTTTACGAAGATGTTTCATCGTAAAAGGACCAGCATAAGACATTGACGAGCACTTACCTTGTGGTTGCGACGAAGATTACGGTCAACACAACCGTGACATATGCAGAAAAGAAAGCTTCGGAAACACCCGAAGTATCACTATCACGCTTGAACCTACCCTAAACTCAGCCACTCATTGAAACTATACAGGTCTTATTGAATTTGCCCACGGTCTGACACTCTGAGCGCATCCGGAGGACGCAACCGCAAGCAAGATACACAACCTCGCCATCTGAAGATGCAGATCTTCGTCAAGACCCTCACAGGGAAGACTATCACCCTCGAGGTGGAGTCTTCTGACACCATCGACAACGTCAAGGCAAAAATTCAGGATAAGGAGGGGTATGCGTTATAATATATCTGGTACTACAGAGATTGATAGTGTGATCAGTATTCCCCCCGACCAACAGCGTCTCATCTTCGCTGGAAAGCAGCTCGAAGATGGTCGCACACTCAGCGACTATAACATCCAGAAGGAGTCTACTCTCCACCTTGTCCTTCGGTGCGTCACGCGTTTATTCTAACATTGAACACTATGCTCACCTATCCATAGTCTCCGTGGCGGAATTATCGAGCCTTCATTAAAGGTTCTCGCAGCCAAATACAACTGCGACAAGCAAATCTGCCGAAAATGCTACGCACGTCTGCCCCCTCGCGCAACTAACTGCCGTAAGCGCGGATGTGGACACTCGTCACAACTCCGCCCGTGCGTCTTTGATTCCTTTATATTAACTCACGTGAAACTAATTTGACATCACCGTGAACAGCAAGAAGAAGTTGAAGTAGTCGACTCGCTTTGGGCATGCTTTGGGGACGATTATGGGACATCCATGTGTATTTCTTTTTCGCTCGCATGTGCAATATGCAACACATGATCATTCCATGTCGTTTTGTGGAGCTTTCTGTGTGATTTCTCCGCATTTTGTGCGCAGTGGTGATAATCATTACCTTGGTTCTTTGTCGTAAGAACGACCCCGTATCGTGACAGGTCCCCATCTTCCATCAGATATTTGTCAGTAGGCGAACTTCGGTCTACCCAAGGTGTCAAAGTGTTCCCTAACGACGTTTCGGGGTGCACAATGAACCTATTACCACAAACAGCAACTTTCGTGGTGCCCATTAAACGCAGTTACACCAGATCGAGTTCAAGAAGTGTGCTTAAGCGTCGTTAAAACGCTTTCATATGACTGGTATGTATATGCGAAAGAGCGTGTCAAATGATTTGGACCAACCCAACATCACCTCACGCCCTAACAAACTCGGTAAACCATGCATTCGTATTGTCCCAATGACCTGTCTGTTGTCCATAAAAAACCGACAAAATATGTCCAAGTGCAACTGAAACTACAAAATAAGGTAGTGTTCCTAACGACCAAAAACTGAAGCCAGGGTATGAGAACATGTCAAATCCCAAAGCCAAAAATGAAATTAAATGTAAATTTCAGGCATGCTGAGAGGAATTTTTGGTTTAAGGAGGTCAAATTAGAACATGATAGCTGCGCCAGCTGCTGCAGAGAGTAGGACAACGGCAGCGGGGCCCATGCCGATCTTCATGAGCGATATAGCACCACTGCTGCTGATAGCCGAAGGTGAAGCAGATGCGGACGAGCTGGTCTGTGCTGTGGTAGCAGGAGCGATGGTTGTAGTAGCCGCAGTCGACCCCGTGGACAGACCCGTGCTCCTAGAAGAGGTTTCAGATTGTCGTCTGTGATAGGTAAGCATTTACTCACGAGCTCGTCGACGTGGTGGATGTCGACGATGGCAGTGTGGCACTCGACTGTGCGGAAACAGCAAAGTCACCACTTTGTGCGTAGACAGTGTTGATGTTGCTGTTGCTAGTAGCTTCGAGGGTGTAACCGTCACTACGCGTCGCGAGTTCAGCCACTCTTATTGCTTCATTCAGCAGAAATAGATAGGGTGCTTACCCAATGGGGACCTGGGGCAGCGTAAGAGTTAAGATACCCGCCGAGCTTTGCACGTTGTTTCCGATGGCGAATGTGTTGTGGAAGATGGTGTTCACCATGTAAAGACTGAACGAACTCGGGTCGGAAGTGGTTGCCTCCCAAGTGACATTGACCAAGCCGCCAACCGAAACAGCCGTCGGTGTGTTGAGTGTCAGTGCAGACACGAGAGGGATAGCGAAGGTGGCAAGAGCACTAAGGGGATAAGTTAATACCACATCGGAAACCTGCTCATCCGATAGTGAAAAAGAGACTTACGCGATTCTAGCGAACATGTTGAAGTCGTGAAGGGAGTAGAAATAAACTAGAAGATGTAGAAGATGTCGAGGACGACGGCGAGGAACGGGAAGCAGAGAAGTGAGAGAGTTGAAGAAAAGTTCAAGCAAGCACAACAGCTTTTATGCCAGAACTAAACCATACGGCGTCTTCCCACGCGGCTTACCAGTCTGGTTCAAAAGCATCCGATGCCGACGATTCACAAACACGCTGGATTCTCATCATTGCCTCATCATTCCCGCGTTTTTCATTCGGTAGGTATGCCCAACTATGGATTCTAGTCAGTAATAGTAGACATTATCCATTACAAGTCGTCAACCCCCCAGCAATAATGCTCACGGGGAAAAAATCCCTTGGTGAAATTATGAGTTTAACCGGATGGCGGCGTACAATTTCCCGATTTCCAGTCAGGCTGCAATCGTAACAGCCTTTCGCCTGTGTTCAAGAATAGATCACGGCCATGTATTCCCTTTCCATCCGCTAATAGATCTACGTGTGAAACGTGGTGAACACCAACGTCAAAAAATGTCAACGAATGTGCGGCATCATCTTGTCGAGGGACAATAAGGCAGGCACAACTCACCTCGTCAAACGGTCGCGTATCGCTAAAGCAACTCCCCCAGACCTCATTCACCGCACGCTCTGCCGCTGCCTCGTCTGGGCACATGGGATTCGCGCGGACGGAAAGTATAGCACGCCGTCTCACGCAAGCCTATTCCAAGTTAGTAAACATTTGGACTGGTAAAGAGATGGATATAGGACTGCACAGCATGAGGCACAATCATCGATATACCTGATGTTGTTTTGAAAATGACACGAATCCCCTTCCCAGCTCACGCATATATCGGCAGTCACCACTTAGACTGTTAGCACGGATCTTCAGTAAACGGGCGCCGCGGCATACGTCAATAAAGCTTAATATGGCATACTGATCACTCACTTCGCTGCATGCATGATGTCTCAAGTTTTTCCAGTCAACATTGAACTTGCAGTGATCATACATATGTACCAGCTCGTGTGTGAGGGTATCTTCCATGTGCTTCTTGTCTCCGAAATGGCCCTGACAAAGGATAATCGCTCCAGCAGGATGGAAGCCTCCGGAACGCGTGAGATCGCATGGGGCACACACGATGTTCGAGGACGGTATCAGGCACCCGGACAACTTAAGATGCTTTAACATGAAAACAACTGAAGGGCCTATGGAAGCAACGCGTGCGCGGCGTTGGAATGAGTACGGATCAGACCACGCAGAAACAACGAGACGAACTGTAATTCAGGAGTTCGGTCTTCCATTGCTCGCAGCGGCGATGCTGCGCTTCAACCCTGTCATGTTCTCGTTCATCTGCGGTAAGCCCCATACCTGATACTTGGGCAGCTTTGTGCAGCCATCTTTGAAATGATCGCGACTCTGATGGATTAACAGGTGGTTCAGAGGAGGCCGGATCCATGAGTGCGAATGTACTAGTGCAAAGCGCAAGTTTATAATACTATTCATGATGAATTCCCACGGACGTGCATGCACTCGCGGCACAACACAAATTGGGATAGAACGGCAACGTTACACAGACAGTAAATCAAACGGCAGAAAGCAACAACCAAGAACTCGTAAGTACTAGGGTCCAACACATTATCCTCCGGAAAGCCCACTAGAAAGACAGTACAGTAATGTAATTAATGAGAAGTGCACTTGAACAACTCTCGCACGTCTGGCAGATTATGGAGCTCTGTCAGGTATCTCGTCGCCAGCGCTTGAAACAACAGCTCGTGATGCTCGTCGTGGTATGGGGTGTGCACATGGGCCATCTCGTGTGCCATGACATAATACCTACGGGAGATTAGTAAATGCTGAAGGACAGAATTTTGTGTACTTGCCAGTCAATGTAGGCCTTTCCAGCAGGGGCATCTTTGTCTAGGTAGTAGGCATAAGCCTTGATAACGAAAGAAGCAATGATGAAGATCACGTACGGTTCTGTATATAGTGTTCCAGACCGAAAAATATCTGATCATTGCGGTTGAAACCCATCAGATTCGAGTCTTCGCCGTGATAGAATACGTGACATCGTGTCTGATTGATTGAAAAGACTGTTGCGAGGTTACTAATAATATTCCCAAAGGCTTCGCGTTCCTTTGAGGGAACACCCAAGACTGTCCCCTCTGAAACAACGTCAGTCTAGTAGTTCGAGATGAGAAGCATTCAACTCACTTCGCTTCCAGACTTTGACTTGC